CCAGCATGGAGATGGTGCCTGGGCAGCTGGGAGTGTGAGGGGAAGCCTGCTCTGTGACTGGGTTCTTCTGCTTGGCCCACCCAGACCATGGGGCAGCGAGCTGGGACTGTCCCACTGACGTGTGGCTGGAGAGGGCATGGGCCACAAGGGGCTTTGTTTTTGAGGATCACAGTAAACACAGCTCTTCTGTCTGGCCAGCACATGGGGCTCTGGGGCCGCTGGCGTTGGGAGCTGCCGGGGTCTCCCAGGGCCGTGCGAGTGGCTTGCTCGTGCCAGGTGGCCTCCAGTGTGACGCGTGGTCTCGGCACTTCCCTGGACTCTGCCGTCTTGTTTCTGTTCCCGTAATTACAGCCTGTTAAACGGCGAGGGGCCTGTCTGCCCCAGCCTTGTGCAGACACTGTGAAATTAACTTCCTTGCCCTCCGACTCGCGTCAGGCTGAACTGACATTTCCAAAGTGCTCCTGGCTGGACCCCTGCTCTTGGCTCGCGTTCCTCAGCAGAGAGGAAGGGAGAGGCTGAGCCTCATGCTGGGGGGAGCTGTCAGGCCAGTGATGGAAGAAATCCCAAGCACTGTTGTCACCAACTAAGTCGCATGCATCTCCGGGAACAGATACCGTCTGTGTCACAGTGCTTCTACTCTGTCTCTGAGCAGGACGGTCCTGCAGGCCGGGGAAGTGGCCAGGGGCCTCAGGAATGGGCAACAGGGTCTGAGAGGCAGGCCCCCTCAAGTCTCGTTACCCTGGCAGCTGGCAGGAGCATGTGGGAATTAACTCGTTACCATGGCAACACACCCTGCTCTCAGGGAACTCGATCCTTTCTGCCGGGCCCTGCAGTCCAGGGTGGGTGGCCAGCTGAGCCAGTGGGCCCTGTGGGGGTACACTGTCTCCCACTGGAGTGGGTGTTCCTTGTCCTGAGAATTTGTCCGAGGACCTCAGGTTTTCCTGCTGTTCTGAGAGGCAGTACCCCCCTGGCATTGTCTGTCCATGGCCCAGAAGAGGAGGGGCAGAGGCCAGCCCCCTACTTGCCTCGTCTTCTGAGGTTTCATGTGGCCGTCCCAGGGCAGTGGCACACGACTCTCTGGACCTTCTGGGGGTCAGCTGGACACACAGGTACTGTGGTGCACACTTGCCAGTGTAGCCCTCCCTCCTAGGAGGTGGTCCCAGGTACCCACTTCCGGGCCAGAGGGCACCAGGTGGTGGGAGTCCCCACCCAGAGAGGCCCAGGTACCCTTGGGGCCCGAAGCCACTTGTTCCATCGGCAGAACCAATGGCCCCTGAGCAGGTCCCTACTCTCCACGACGGCCTGTGTTCCTCTTCCTGACACACTCATTTAATTTTTAACTCACAAGGCATTTGCTTATTTATTTTCATTGTTCTTGATAATAATTCTAAGCCATTAGAGGGGAAAATTATATTCAAAAATGCTGTTTCACACTTTATTTGTTTGATGATTTAGAGCGATAGAAAATAGCACATTTGCTGGCTTTTATAGTCTGATAATTATTCACATCCATCAAGCCATTCCAGGGGAATAAACAAAACACCAAGAAAATGACACTATTAATAGCATCCTCTGCTGCGGATGGGAAGGCTCTCCGGCCCGCTGTCTCTGCAGGAGTGCAGGCGGCCCATCCCCAGCCTGAGGTGAGAGCTGCCCGCAGAGGGCATTTCCTTTCAATTTCCCTATGTTCCTGGGCTCAAGAGCTTCCCTCCTGCTGGACTGAGCCCTCTGTCCACCAGCACCCGGGAGCCCCAGCTTCCTTACTGGACTCCAGCTTGGTTTCAGCAGGGCCCGGGGGATGCCAACCTTGCATCCAGCCTCAGTATGTCCCTGGCCCCCCGTAAGCACATCCAGCCCCCACACCCGTGTCAGGATATGGGTCTCGGACGTGATTGCTGGCAGCCATGGCCCCAGGCCTCCCTCTCACCCTATGCCGGGTATGCGGTTTCTGCATTGCCTTTTGGGGAGTGGTTGTGATTGGGGGTGAGGGATGTGTATCCACTCCTCCAGGCCTCAGTTGTAAAAGAGGAACCTGGAGGAGAGGCTGGCAGATGTCTGCCTTGTGGTGCAGCCCGCCTGTCTCTCCGCAGACCAGGGGGCCACTTCCTTCTAGATTATGACATCCAGGCCATGATCACCATTGTTCCCAGAAACATCTGTGCTCATCAGCCAGTCACTTGAACAGTGAAACTGCTGGATCGGGCTTGTCTCTTCACTGTCGTGTGGCTTTGCACATGTCTTGTGTCCCTGCCTGGGAGCCAGCTGCAGAGAGACCTGGCTTGGTCTTTCCCATCACCTCCATGGCTGTATAGCAGATCAAAAAACATTTTATTTTCTCACTGAAGCCCTTGATACTTACAGACGACTGCCTTTTTGAAAAAGGCATCTGGCAAACAATGCCCAACTTCGTCTCTCTCGGCCTCCTCAGCGATTCCACAACATTAAACCGGGAGTTATGGAGCCTGTCCGGTCCTGCTGCAGCCTCGCGGGGTCCCATGCCCATGGTTGCCAGGGCCACCAAGCCAAGAGCGCTGAATTTTCCACAACTTTCTGGTTGAGTGTTGGCCAGAAGCAGTTTGTTTAAGAACTGTCACTACTAGAGAGAAAGGGTGGAGGAAGAGGGGTGCATAGGAAGGGCTGGGAAAACATGTGGAGAAGGTCCGGAGGGACCTGCCTGGTCGGCCTCAGGACTGGGGCTCCCTGTGCTGTGGGTGGAGGAACCAGTGTGACCCCCTCCACGGGTGGCCTGTCCCTCTGCAGCCTCCCCCATTTCCGACTCTGCTCCCCAAACCTTCAGTCTATTTTCTCTCCCAGTGGTCCCAGATTCTGGGAGTAGCGCTGCCCGATCTTGTCCAGGCTCTTCTGCCGTGGCTGGGCCGTCTGGGACGGGACCCTACCCCCGGGAGGAGGGAGGGGCTGTTGGGCCAGGGAGATGGCTGTACTGCAGCAAGACGTGCAGAAAACTAGCCTTGCTGGAGAGGGGCGCCCATGCTGGCAGAGAGCAGGGTGGGGGAACCAAGGGGGCCTGCGTGTGGGCTGGGCAGGGCTGCCTGCCAGCCGGGAGACCTCACACCAGCCCAGTCGTGAGATGGATGTGGTCCCGGGCAGACCGTCTGTCCATCGAAATAGGCAAGCATCCTTTGCCACCCAGGTGAACAGGGCTGCCACGTCCAGAGAGCAGCTGCCTGGGATCACAGGTGGACAGAGCAGATTGATTTTGGCCGTGAGGTTTGACCTTGTGTTGCGACAGAGTTCCTGGGGAGCAGGACAGACTGCCCCCATATTGGTGGCCAATAAAGCTGACTCTGTTTTATGGCCCCAGAACCTGCTCTCTAATAGCCAGACAGATGCTTGCCACCTCGAGGGTGAGTAAGCAGCCCAGCTCAACCCAAGGAGCCCCTCTGCCTTCTTCCTTTCTTTTTTCTCCTCTCCTCCCAGACCCGAGTCCAACCGGTGGTGTGACGCTGGGTGGCGCTGTGATGATGTAACATGACCTGGGCCCTGACTGGAGACCCCATGAGGTTCTGCCATGAAAGCCCCCTGGTTTGGGGACTTCCCCCAGTGGTGAATGTCTGCTCTGCACGGGAGGGCTGTGTCTGGGTGGGGGCTCGGTGGGTTCCTACATTGCCACAGCCAGTAGAATTCGGGGAACCTTCCCAGCTGCACCGATGAAGCTACCCTCCCTGCCTCCTTTGTTTTGATGGTCCATGCTCAGCGCTTATGTAGTCAGGACGAGCACCCAGCCCTCCCCTGAAGATGGAGATTTTCATCCTGCAGGGTCCCTGGAGGTGGGAGGGGGTAGCTCTGGGGCCTCTCAGTACCCCAAGGGGTTCGCCTGGTGGTTGCCGACTGTGACAGGCACCACGTGCTCTTGGCTGTCAGAGTCCGGACGTCCCCATGGCCGCTGACTTCCGTCCATGAGTCCTTTCTCCTCTCTCCAGGGGCTGCCCTTCTGAACTCTCAGCCTGCATCCTGCAGTCTGTACTTTCTGATAAGAGAGGAGCCACGTGCCAACATATTCAACTTTTAACATCCACCAGATTCAATTAATCTTATCTTTACAACTCCCAATTACAGGCGGTAATTAAGTGAAAGCAGCATTGTAGACCCGCGATATTGCATTAATCATCACAGCCTTGGAGCCGTAAATTAGTTCCTTCCCGGCCCTGAGCATCTTCCCAGCAGGGATGGAATGTTTCATTCTGCTGTTTGTGGGGGGTGACATTAATCCCACCAAGGTGCCTTGGATTGGGATTAATTTTAATCATCTTTATGTAAGCGATAAAAGGCCGTTTAAAAAAAGAGTCACCTCCTCTTTGTCCAGATAATGGGAAATTCTCTGACGCCAGCAGAATTAAAGGTGCCACAGCCACTGCCTCCAGGGCCCCAAGCATGCTCGGAAATTAATTGTTTTTATCCTGTTGGATAAACGAGACAGCACAGCGTTCCCCTCTCCTCCCCTCGCCCCCTTTTATTTTATTAAGAGCAGTGGTAAACCTCTCCATTGGGGTGGGTTCAGCTGGCTGCCATGTCTGGGTGATCTTCAGTGTTCCCTGTGGTCCCCCACTTGGCTTGCTGGGGGGATGCGCCCTCACAGGGTCTTGTTCTAGTTCCAGGTGTTACCCGGCTGATTCAGAAGCACAATCCCCCTACCCCTCCGCACTGCGGCCTTGGGCAGGTCACTGTGGGGGTGGGCCATGGAGCATTATCCCTGCCCCCACCCCCTCGCTGCCAGGAAACCCCCCTCCCCCCAGTGGTGACAAATGGGAATGTCTCAGATGTGGCCTGGTGTCCCCTGGGGGGAGGATCGCTGGCTTGAGAGCCACTGTCTGGAGTTTCTCCCAACAGGTCTGGAGGCAGATGGTCTGATAACTGCAGTCGGACCCTTTACCATCCTCCCTCCTCCTTCGGACAAAGGACACACCCCACATTTGTTTGAAAATGGAGGTATCCACCTGGCCACACGCTCTCAACTCTGATGTGCCTGCCTTCTCTCGTAGGTATGCCATCCCCCCGGAGCACGGCAAGCGCCTGGAGCGGCTGGCCATCGGTAGGTGCCCGGGGCCCCCTGGGACTGGGTGGGCCGTGGGCTGGCAGCCCCACCCTCCCCGGCTTCCCGTTGTTGTCTGGGTGTCGGTGTCCCACACTGTGTCCACTTCCTTCCCTCTGGGTTAGGCCGTGGGCCCCCCATTGTGGGTCTGTTGCTTGACACAAGCTGCACAAATGTGTTCGTCAACACTCTCGTTTTCCGGACTCTTGGCACGGAGTTTGGGATGTGACCCCAGGCTTTGCAGGCTGGAGGCAGCCAGTGTTCCCCCCGCCGCCCCGGGGCTCCATCCCGCACTCCTCTGTCTTTGTAGAGCCTTTGCTCAGTCTTGAACAGGAGAAGTTCAGTTCGGAGGTCCTCACAGTGCTGCATGGCCGAGTGGGGGCCTCAGGGCCGCCTGCCGTCCATGCAGGACTGGATCACCCGGGCTCCCTCAGCAAATGTCATGCTATCTGGATTGAGGCACTAGCTGGGGCCTCTTGGGCTGACGGGATTTATCAGAGAGGGTCCTGGGCTGTGTCCGGACAGGGGGCCACTGACCACTCAGGCATAGGAAGGCCCTCAGGGCACGAAATCCTTTGAGACAAGCAGACATCCCGGCTAGGAGGCCCTGAGGCTTCTGTGTGCCCCAGTGGAGGGCCAGGCCATGGCTCTGAGTCACTCTCATCATGCCCCTGCCCTGCCCCCACAGAGGCTCTTGTGTCATGAGGGTGGGTGGCTGTCAGTGCTGGACGGACAGTAGCAGACGACTGGCCCAGCCATCAGCCCTTGCTCCACAGTCAAGAGTGGCCCCTCCTTCACAGGCTGCATCCAGGTGGGGGTGAGGGTCTGCCTCTCAGACAGTGCCGGGCCTCTGGCCACCCTGACCTCTGTGGCAGCAGCAGGCAGCTGGTGCCCTCAGGCGGTGGAACCTTCCAAAGCTGTGGCTTGGTGTTTGCGAGGCTCCCTGATGGCCCGCTGCCGGCCTCCGTGCCTCTCCCACCCTGGGGAGCATGTTTCTCCTGGTGGGAACTCCAGGACAGCCAGTCCTGGCAAAGGCCAATTGCACTTACTTCCTAAGATCTAAAGGGAAAGCCAAATTAGATTTTTTCCCCATTATCTGACTTTTTAAAATGCCAATTAAAAATGCCTTTTCCTGTTGTATTAGCTTCTGGTTGATGTAACAAATTACCACAAACTCCCAGGGGGCACTAGTGGTAAAGAACCCGCCAACCCGTGCAGGACACATAAGAGACCTGGGTTTGATCCGGGTGGGGAAGGGGAAGAGCCCCTGGAGAAGAAATGGCAACCCACTGCAGTATTCTTGCCTGGAGAATCCCATGGTCAGAGGAGCCTGGCGGGCTATAGTCCTTGGTGTCACAAAGAGTTGGACACAACTTAGCACTCACGCATCACAAACTCAGTGACTTAAAACAGCACCAATCCCCTCAATTTTGCTGTGAACCTTAAACTACAGTTTAAAAAAAAGTCCTAATTAAACCCCCACAGTTTTGTGTTCTCACGCTTGTGGAGGTCAGAAGTCTACACCGAGCCTCTTGGGGCCAAGGTCCAGGCATCAGCAGGCTGGCTCCTTCCTGAGGCCCCCTTGGTGGAGTGGGGTGGGGCAGAACCCAATTTCTGGCTTCTCTGACTTCTGGAGGCACCCCGTCCTGGACTCGGGGCCACGTTGCTCTCATTCTGTCTCCCTGGCCCATGGCTTCCGCTGCTATGGTTGGGTCTCCCCTGCCCCTGTCTTAGAAGGACCTTCAGGATGTCACAGGCCCCCACAGGGGTCCAGGCCCATCTTATCTCAGGGGCCTGCACTTGATCCCATCTTCAGAGCCCCTTTCTCCAGGGAGGGGACCTTACACAGGCTGCGGGGATCGGGGTATGGATGTCTTGGGGGAGCCACAGTTCAGCCCCCCACCTGCAGAGCCAGGAACATTAGCACAGGTGCTCTCTCTCTGGGGACCCTGGGCCTTGTCTTCAGCATCTCTGCTCTTGCTGTTTGGTGGGGGACCGAGGGTGTTTGGCCTTCCCTGGTGGCTCAGACGGTAAAGTGTCTGCCTACAATGTGGGAGACCTGGGTTCAATTCCTGGGTTGGGAAGATCTCCCGGAGAAGGAAATGGCAACCCACTCCAGTATTCTTGTCTGGAAAATCCCATGGATGGAGGAGCCTGGTAGGCTGCATACAGTCCATGGGGTCACAAAGAGTCAGACATGACTCAGCAACTTCACTTTCACTTTCAAGGGTGTTTGCAGCTAGCCACGCCCGGCTGCTCTCCCTCAATGTGCCTTCTCTACTAGAAAAGTGTGGGGTCATCTGAGCACCAACTAGAGAAGCTGGAGGCGGCCGGAACTACTGCCGGGGCCTTTCTGACGCCTGGACCTGGATGCTGGCTTGCTGCCTGGGCATCTGTGGAGGGCTTGGTTCGGTGGCCGGGGTTGGGAGAGGATGGGTGGGTGGGTGGCCCTTGTGAAGTCATGCTGCACCTGGAATTCAGGGAAGGGGCCAACAGCTCTGGAGGAGGAGTGGGGGATCTCATGGTTCCTCCACAGCCTCTCACTCGGGCTGCTCTCCCCTCCTCAGAGGAAGGACTGAGGAGGCTCTAGGGCTGGTGACTCACTGGCCCTCCTGGGCGTCCCTTCCAAACTTTTTGGGGGCGTGCCTCCCGGGGCGGCTTTGTTGAGATGGGTGGAAGGGGGTTGCAGTTAATATGGAAAATGAATAGCTGCGCTCTGAATGGGCTCGCTGGGAGGGTTGTGCAGCCCACGGGGAGAGCGTTAATGTGTTGGCGCATTATTGGTGCTAATCACTTAAAATGTGCGCCTTTATTAGAGCTTTAATGAGAGCCACTTAAACTGTGCATTAAAAAGAGGAACTGCAGAGAAGCCGGCGGGCCAGGCGGCAGGCAGCCGTAACTCTAATGGAAATGCTTTTAGTGCAGAGCAAGAGTGTGGGCTTCGGCCGTCCTGGCTCTTTCCAAAACCTCCACACTGGGTCCTTGCCGTCAGGAGCCTCCTCCAGCCTCAGCGTGTGGGTGGGGCCATGTGTGCACACAGACACACGCACATGCGCACGTGCACACACACGTGCATATACACACATGCACACATGCACATGCACACACACACGTGCGCATCCAGGGTGTGCGCTGGCTGGTCTCACTGGAAGGGCTCCGGGGCCCCCCCGAGCCTGGGGGTCAGCCCTGGAGGGAGGTGGACACTTGGGGGTACATGCCACTGCCTTGGGGACATGTCCCACACCTTGAGGAGCCATGCAGCCCTGCTGTGCCCACTCTGTGTGGTTTGGGGTGAGAAGCTCAGCCACTGTGGGCAGAACCTGAGGTTGACTTTTCCTTAACCATGCGACTAGCCTGTTAGTGACTTGAATTTCAGCCAACATGTGATGTGGGAACAGTGCTGAGCTGTGCTGGTGAAGCCTGCTGTCTGGGTCTAGGTGTCTGGGCCTCCTGTGGACTCGTGGATCATCTTTTAAATTAGCTACATGGTGCGCTCTGAGGCAGAAAGCAGATCGGCTGTGAGCATAGATAGAGGCGCAGGCCTGGGTCGCCCACCCTGCCCCCATGTCCTGTGGGTCTGGGCCGCGGGTAGGTGGGTCATGGGACCATGTGGGTAGAGAGCCCTCGCCCACTCAGGCAGCCCCCCTCTTTGCTGTGGATGTGGTCAGTGTGTGGGGGGGATGGAGGCCCCACTCACTCCTCACCCCCACAGCGCGTCAGGCTCTAGAGAGCAGCTCCTCTGTCCTGTCTCCCGGCTCCCTCTCACGTGGCCGAGTGACCGTGTGGAGGCCCCTGAGGGGAGCTCAGAGTCAGGGGCAGTCTGTGGGCAGCCGTGCCCCCACCGCGCACCTTGTCTGTAGTCACAAATGTGGTGCTGTGCGTGGGTACACTGCGCCTGGCGGGCCCCTGGGTGTTTTGTTCCTGCGGGGCCACAGGAGGACAGGGCCGCCTGGCCACCCCGCCCCATCCGGCTGACACTGTCTCGTCTGCTCCAGGCTTCTTCCCCGGAAGCTCCCAGGGCTGCGATGCCTTCCTTCGGCACAAGATGACCCTCATCTCGCCCATTATCCTCAAGAAGTACGGGATCCCGTTCAGCCGGGTATGTAGGGGTGGGCATGTAGCCTGTCGGTGGACGGGCTTCTGGGCCCGGGTCCTGCTGACCGTGAGCGCCCCAGAAAACTGGCGTCTTCATGCTGGAGAAGGTTCTAGAAGGACCGCAGGCTAGGATCTGGCTGCACTCCTGGGCCGTCAGCTCTTCCACAGTGGTGGTGAGGGTGGAGGTGGGTATCAGGAGGGGCTTCCCTCCCGGTTCCTCCCAACCAGGACCCTAATATCTGCTGGTCCTGGGGTCGGACTGGGGAGTGGATGGTGGGGGCAGCTCCTGACGACCCTGCAGGAGGTGCTGAGGAGCTGGGCCCCCCTTTGTGGGAGCCCCCTGCCTACCCCACCCATGCCCAGGGCAGACGGCCTCACTCCAGAGGGAGTGAATACCTGTTTAGAAATGAAGCGTCTGACTCGTCCGCAGCATGAAAGCCGTGACCTCATGCAGTTTCCTGTAAGGTGTCCACATGGGGCTGTGAGGGGTGAGGCCACAATGGGGGCTAAGTTGGCAGGGACCCCACCACCTGGGAGAGTGGGGTGGGCAGCAGGGACTGAGCTCTGGGGCTGGGCGCCTCTGTCCTGAGAGTGGGCTCAGTCATTGTCACGCCAGGCCAGTCCCTCCCTACAGACAAGCCTCCTGGACACGAGGGTCCAGGTGAATGGCCCATGCCTGGAACTTTCTGGAAGGCATGTGGGCCATGGCCCCGAGGGCAGAGGCAGCCCAGCTCCTGCAGGTCTCCCCAGAGAGTGATCTGTCAGGCGCAGAGCGAGCTCTGTGAGCAGACTTCCATGCCTGCCTCTGGCCCCGGGTGTCAGCAAGTTGAAAACTGGCTCTGATGTTTTCAGGCACACAGCCGCAGCATCACCATGCAGATGGGGGTGTGGCCTCTCCTGCCAGGGCCACCCCCACCACTCCTGCTCTTCAGGTAGCGGCTGTCCCTGTTCTCTCTGCCCCCTCTGTCTTCTGGTTGGAACATTGTTCGTTACCAGGAACCTTGCAGACAGATAACAGCATTGCTCACGGGACTGAGAGGTCCTTGTTTCCCATCGCTTTGTCAAGAGCATTCTCCACAGCCCTGCATCCTGGAGAGGGATGCAGGTCCTGGGAGTCAGCTGGTGGTCGCTGTCCATCCTCCCAGGCCGGTGCTGTGTGGTCCTGCGGCTCATATGTGCAATATCTGAGCACGACCCACAGGCCGTGGCCTCCCACTGGTGACCCTGCTGGTGGCCCAGGAGAGGCTGGGCTCCGCGGCCATACCGGCTCCCACAGGGGCCAGGACAGAGTTTCACTCTGAGGCTGTGGGACACAGGCCCTTGTCTGGCAGCGGAGAGCCCTCCATGGGCTGCAGGCCTGGGGACCAGGCTTCAGGCCCTGCAGAGTCAGAGATGGACGCCTCTCTTAGGGCTCCACATGTAGCCCCTCATCTGAATTCCTGGTAGAAGAGTCAGTCCACATTCCACTTATAAATCTTCGTAATGGTATTTACTTCTGGAAGAAAAAGCAGATCAATAGTGGAGCTTTTTAATAATTAAAAGTGTGTGTTTCTGTGATCTGCCACAGACTTCCTCATTCATTCTTCGAGAGCTCCAGGGGCAGCCAAACTCCAGGCTCCCTCTGTGACTGGCGTGTGGGGCCCGTGCTCCCTCCTCTCCCAGCTGCTCCGCCTCAAGGCCGGTCCATCGTCCCCGATGCCTTCTAATTTAGTGTCGGGCTAATGTTGATGGCAGTGACGTGGAAGACAGCCTCCGTGGGCCCGAGGTGGAGCCACCGAGATGTAGATTTTCTGAAGGGAACATAATCTTCTTGCCATTCCAAATAAGCACACCTTCCCTTCTGGGCCTTGATTTATGGGAGGGGTCTGGCGGGGGGCTTCGGCTTGGTGACAGGGACCCCGCTGCCTCCCCGAGGCCCTAGCAGACCAGCTGTGCTCAGAGGCATCGGAGGAAGAGTGAGGCAGCACTCTCTAGGATCAGCTCAAGTAGGATGAGAAAATCAGTAACAGGGTTTAACGGACCGTCCCCAAACCCGAGTTTATTTACCGTTTCATGAGCTCCTGAGTCCTGCGACAGAAGCCGACCCAGGGGGCCCTGTCTGAGGACCAAGGATGCTGGCCACTGGTCCTGGGGACGCTGCCCATCCCCACCTACCCCTCTCCTACCGTCACTTCATCCCTGCACACAGCTGTCACTTGGACTGGAATTTAAAAATATAACTTAATGCACAGTGACTTCTCTTGATTGGTGCAATTCATTATTTGAAAAGAAAAATATCAGCGTGTTCTTAAGGACTGGCTTTCCTCCAGGCTACATCAGTTTTGATTGATTTTTGACTCTGTGGTTGGTTTCTGGACGTCTCACCCCCCACCACCTCCCGCCGCTCCCCTTCCCCTGCCAAGGTTTGACTCCTCGTCAGTTCCTTAGATAAATCCAGTGATTTCTACTCATCCCTCTGGGGTTATTAGCAGGGCACAGAACCATAGACAGTGACAAAGCAGTGAACGGCCTCTAAGTGGGGCAGGAGAATTGAACAGACACACTTGGCAAAAGGAGGCACGCACCTGCAACGGCAGATCCAGAAACACCAGGACCAGATGTGGTGGGTGGCACCTACCAACCTGGGGGCAGGGCTGGAGCCTTGTACCCCCTACCTGGGCCGCGAACACCCCTGACACTGCTGAGGGGGCGGGGGGAATCTCACCCTCACTGCCACATTGGTGCAGAATGGCAGCTGCTGTGGAAAGCCGCCGGGCAGTTTCCTGGGGCCCCCGGCACGCCTGCCCCCGTGTCTGTTTACTCTGGAGAAACACCAGCACCATCTGGAGAAGTGTTTCTACTGGCCCCGCCGCTCTGCTCGCTGTATCCCGACCAGGGAACAGCCTCAGGCCTGTCAGCAGGATGCCAGATGAGCAAGTAGGACACGTCTGCGTGACAGGAGGCCCTGTAGGAACAAAAAGGAGTCAGTGGAGTGCCCACTGGGACAGATAAACCCTGAGGATGTGCCAAGCGGAAGAGGCCAGACCCAGAGCAGAGATGGTGTGGTCAGTGTCCGTGAAACCCTAGAGAGACGAGGAGGATGGTATGGGGGCGCATTTGGGGCAACAGTCCCTGGAACTCCAGACAAGCTGATCTTTGCTCCCAGCTCAATCTAGGAAATGATGGCCCTCCCAACCCCAGAGGTCACTCCTGCACATGGCCTCCGTTCCAGCAGCCACACCTTGCATCGCAGGACACCGTGAGCGGGCATGCTGGCTGCTATTACTTCTCATCTCTTTCAGAACAGTCTACTGTTGGAATGACTGCTGATAGCTGGGGGTGGTCAGTGGGGAGGAGGCTGCAGCCCCCACCTTCTCCTCCAAGCCTCAGGGTGACAGTACTGGATGCCTCTGTGTGTTGTCATCATCCCCCATCGCTCAAGCCCAGCTCCTGGGTTTGGCGTCTTTGATGCAGAGGCCGGACCAGAGTCTGGCTGTCCAGACCATTTTGAATATGCCTAGAAATATCAGCTCCGCCTGTGAGGTCTGACCTTGACATGTGTACTCCCAGCCTGCCGATACGTCACTTCAGTTGCTCTACCCTCACTTGGAAGGACCCATGTCTTTGGATCTAGTGGATAGGCTCCCTGCTCACAGTGGTGGGGTGACTCAGGCCAGCATCTGGGGCCGTTTCATGGGTGGGCCTACTCCTTCCTCACACGAGGACTGGACACCGTGATGCAGGCTCACACCTGTCCTGAGCTCCCAGGGCTCTGAGCTTCCCCAGAGCTGACCAGCCCACCTTGCCAGCCCTGGTGCCGTGTGGGGACATCTCACAGTGGACAGGAGGTGTGATAGCCACCTGCCTCTGAAGCAGAAGCTGCCCCCCGCCCCAAACAGAAAGCACCTAGAATCCTAGTGCTGCAACTCACCTGTCTGAGAGTCCAGACTGTCCCCTTGGGCCCGGTGGGGCCTCTGTGAGCGGTGGGGCTGGTAGCAGCCACCCCAGCCACTTGCCTCACCTGCTCTTCTAGCCCCATGAGAACCAGGCTGCAGCCTGTAGAACCTGGCCTTTCACCTGGCCGACTCCTTGGCTCCTGAAGTCAGGTCCCCGCACTTGGTGGGACGTCCTGGAGCCCACACCCCCCTGCTGGGCCCCTCGGTGGCTTCTGGTGGCTTTGCTGCCAGCCTGTGATGACCCATGTCGGGCATTTCTTCCAGCCGGGCCTCATCCCTCACCTGTCATCCCTTCCTCCTCAGATCACACAGGAGGCAGGGGAATTCATGATCACGTTCCCCTACGGCTACCATGCTGGCTTCAACCACGGATTCAACTGCGCCGAGTCCACCAACTTTGCCACACTGCGGTGGATCGATTATGGCAAGGTGGCCACCCAGGTGAGTGAGCACTAGCCCCCCACCTGCTCCCCCAGCCCAGGGCCTAGGTGACAGCCGCTTATATTCAGCCTGGGGCTCAGACTCAACATCAGGGTCTGTTTCTGGATCCTCAGCAAACGTGTCCTCAGCTCATTGCTCACTTGGAGGCAGGTCAGGTGTGTGCAGCAGCCGGGGCCTGGCCAGGCCTGGCTCAGGGCTCCCTCTGTCCTGGCAAGCCCAGGTGCGCTCCCACCATCTGGGGGCCAGAGGAGATTTGTTCCTTGTTAGTTGACTCTTGCGGGGCCTCTTGGTCAGGTGCGGGGTTTGCTCCGGCCCCAGAGCCTGTCTTTACAGGCTCTGCAGTGTGTGTGCATGAGCGTGTGTGTGCGCATGTGTGTGTGAGTGCGCATGCAAGAGAGCAGAGCCCTGGCAGCGCAGGCCGTGTGCTTGAGCCCAAGGGCGGCTTCCTGCTGCCTCGTCATCCACAGTGGTCACTCAAGAGCCCAGAAGACTCATTTGTGTTCCACGGTAATTTGCCGACCTGCTCCCAGAGGGACGATAATCAGCCTGCAGACCTGATACTTGAACTGAGTGCTTGTTCTCAACTCCTTTTCCCCGTGCATGCACCCATCTGTGGTTCTGATGGGCAGCTCAGTGGGGCTCGAGGTCCCACAGTGGCGTGTCCGGGGAGCAGCTGGATTGTGGGCAGGTCCCTGGGAAGGGGAGGCCTCTAGGAGGGCTGTTGGCCATGCAGCAGGCCCAGCCCTTCCTTGGCAGCTGGGGCCAGTGACCTTCCTCCCAGGATTGGCACCATGACCACCCTGAGGAAGCCAGTGAGCTCCACCCATCCGTCTGGGCTCTGGCCGAGTGGCCCCGGCTCTCAGGCTTCAGCTGCTATAATCTTATCTCTCCAGCGTAGAAAGGGGCCCAGCCATGCACACGTCTCACTCTGGCACTGAGCACAAGGAACAGGAGAGGCCCCTCCTGCGTGGGCCTGTTCCGTGAAATTGGGGTGCCTCCTATCAGCCTCCTCAGCAGAGCCCTGGGGGTCTTCCATGAAATCACTCAGCTGTTGGGGGCTAGGGTTAGGGAGCATGGTGGGTTTCTCCCAGACACGGAAGTGGGGGCGGTGTGGACCAGGAGAACCTCGAGCCCAGATTCTGGTTTGGTCAGCCCACCCCTGACCCCAGATCTTTGGAGAAGAGGGTCTAGGCTGTGACGATTGGGCATCATGGCCTGGCGATATGGCCCCATGGGGAGGGAAATCGGCATCCAGGTGCAGCATGTGGCAAAGAGCAGGAAGACCCAGACTGAGGGTTCTCAGGGTGCTCACAGACTGGAACTTGGAAGTAGACAGGGTTAAATGAGATCCATTCTGAAAGGGAACAGCTCCTGTTTCATTTCATGTTTGAGTGGGGTGAAAGATTGTATGTGTTTAGTCGCTCAGTAGTGCACAACTCTGCAACCCCATGGGCTATAGCCTTCCAGGCTCCTCTGTCCATGGGATTCTCCAGGCAAGAAACCTGGAGTGGGTTGCCATTTTCTCCTCCAGGGGATCTTCCCAACCCAGGGTCACACCTGCATCTCCTGTGTCTCCTGCATTGCAGGTGGATTCTTTACCTGCTGAACTATTGGGGAAGAGGGTGAAAAACTAAGAAAATTAAGCTCTGGGGGTGGCTTTGTGGCACATCTCCGCTACACAGCGCAGTCTAAACAGGTTGGCGGTCTAGACGAGTTGGCTCATCTCTGTTTTTCTAATGATCTCTCTAACTTTGCTGTGTCAGTGCAGTTGAGAAAAGGAAACGGGCTTTGCAGCCAGGAAGACTGGAGAGGCACCCCGGGATGTGAAGCGTTGGGATTTAGACTTAATTCAGAAAATCATGAGAGTGTCTTTGGCAGAGAGTCCAACTTGGCTAAAAGAGGAGAAATGGGGACATCAGGATTGTCCGCTTAGATCCAGAGGAATAATTACATCTCCCGGGGCGTGTTCGCGTTGTCGCCGAGAGTTCCATGTGTGTGGGTCCACGTGGCTGCAGCGGGCACTGGATTGAGTTGTCAGACCGTCGGGGGCTTGTCCTGGAGGCCCTGCTGGAGCCAATCCTGCTGCGGAGCCAGTGGGGACCGCCCGGATATTAAAAGCAATTTTGGGTTCAGCCATGTGTTCACAAACAAGTGACATCTGGGAGGTGCTGCCTGAGATGGGGCACCACGCTTACATTGCCGGGCGGCGTAGCGTGAAATTACTGAACCAGTCAGTGTGGTGCTCTGAGCCGGGCGGGGGTTCCAAGGGCCTGGCAGCTGGGGTAGGGCCCCGCAGGAGTGGCCACTGGCCCTGGGGTGCCCATCCATGGCCGCATGATGTCGGCTCCTGGGCTGTTCACTGGTGACCCTCCGAGCTCTGCTGCCCTGTAACTAATCTGGGCTGGAGAGGCTGCCTGGGCGCTTGGCCTCGCAGATGACAAGCTGAGGTATCAGGGGCAGGGGACTGTTCAGGTTCCGTGGTGCTAGGGCTGTGGATTTAAGGGAGGGAATGGGTGGGGCAGAGGGGCAGCCAGAGCCCGCTTCCCACTGAGCTGGGGCCTCTCCCTGCAGCCTGAGTGCCTGCCTTCCAATCTGTGTCCCCTTCTAGCACATTCCTCTGACACAGCCCAGGGGGAGACTCTACTTTCCAGGCTCTAGAGACCCATTTACTTGCTGGTTCATTAGCTTCTCAGGTGCCCAGTGAACCCCCCACTCCCTCCATCGACCCATTTTTGTCATTCTCTCTGTTGACACATGAAATACTAAATGCCCAGGCTCGCCATCCTGTGTGAACTTCAGGTGTGCCTGCTCTTTCTTCCCGATCAGGGTCAGCAAACGGGGCCCGCAGATGAAACCTGGCTGGTTGACTGTTTCTGGTACTGTCTGCAAACAGAGCCTTGCTTAGATGTCTTTGTTCTTCTGGCCATGTCATGTGGCATACGGGATCTTAGTTTCCCAAACCAGGGATTGAACCTGAGCCCCCTGCAGTGGAAGCTCAGAGTCTCAACCACTGAACTGCCAGGGAAGTGCCGAGTGTTAGGTTTTTAAAGAGCTGGGGGAAAAAAAAATCAAAAGAAGTCATATGTGACACATGGCAACTAGATGAAACTCACATTTCGCGTTGATAAAGTTTTTTAAATTAATTTATGTGTTTGGCTGTGCTAGGTCTTAGTTGCAGGATGTTCCCTGACTGGGGATCGAACCCAGGCCCCCTGCCTTGGGGGCTCAGAATCTCAGCCGCTGGACCACCAGGGAGGAACTGATGAAGAGTTTTATTGGCACAGGCTCACCCATTCATTGACAGGCTGTGCAGGGGCTGCTTGCATTTGGGTGTGGAGCTGAGTGGCTGTAACAGGCCGTCTCACCTGCAAAGTAGAAAATATTTGCTGTTGGCTCTTGTCAGGAGTTTGCAGTTCCTGGTCTAAAGAATCGATTTTGTGGACACCCTGGCTCCAGTCAGTCAGGGCTGAAGGGTCCCCCTCACTCTTTCCTCCACAGCCCCCAGGGTCTATGGCATCAGAGGGGCTGTTCCCTCCAGCACGTTGGCCCCCATCTGCTGCCTCACTGATTTTAACCAAGGAAAATTTATACCCATGATTGGGGGATTGGGTGGACTATGGAATATTATGCAGTCACAAAAATAGGTTCACTGTTTACTGACGTGGAAAAATGGGAATGGCATTTTGGGTGGAAAAACTAGGTTTTGGATCAGGAATGTGTAATCCCATTGTGTGTGTGTTGGGGGGAGGGGGATTTACCAAATGTTGATCGATGTTAGCTCCATGGGGTAGAATTTGAGGACTCAGCAGGCCTGAGATCAGAGCCAGCAGTGGCCAGTCCTGCCTCAGGTCACATGCTGCTGCTTTGGTTTTGAGCTATCCCTTTCCCTTGACCTCCTCCCCAGGCTCCACAAACCCCCTCCTGCAGCCCCGTCTCTCTCTCCAGCTTTCCTGATGGATCTTGTCTGCATCAAGCTCTGACTCTGGGCCTCATGACTGGGCCTGCCGGCATTCCAGAAGACACCTCCCTCACCTCCGTTGTCTCCCAGGCTGGCTGCCCGCTTCAGGCAGGTGTCCAGGGCTTGCCTGGGGCTGCAGGGGCCACCTCCACAGGCCTATGCTCCATTTCCAAGAACAGAATTCCCCAGGCAGGCGTTGTAGTGGGATTACCAACTGGGAAGATGAGAGGGCTGCTCCGTCTTCACTGCAGAAAATGAAGTGTGCACACATCAGCCTTTCAGGTCTGAGCTCGAATTAGTCCTACAAGGCTGCATGCCACGTTGGATTAGCTGTGCGGCCTCGTTGCTCCCGCGGTGGGTGGCACTGGGTGAAGCCTGACAAGGGCCTCCTGCCTCCACCGGGGCGCCCCACAAGGCGCAGGAGTTGACTTCGGATTAAACAGAGCAAGAGAGATTTAGAACCCAGCTTGAACGCTGGGAGCCCCGCATGCTTAGCTGGTTTTCCGCCTGTTGTCTGGGCCGCTGCCTGGCAGCGCTCAGTCTCCGGGCAAGTCTGCTCCTCGGCAAGGTGTCTGCTGAGTGTGGAGGGTGGGAAGACCTGGCCCCCACATCCCCCCACTTCTGGATCTGGATTGGGGGGCTTCCCCTGAAACCTCTCACCCGGGCTACCTCGAACTTCACTGCTGTGAAATGTGAACCACATTGTCCCCGCTGCTCCGAGGACACCTGCCTTCTGTTTGGTGACACTGCGCCTGCTCTGGGTGATTAACCCAGAGCCCTCCCCATGAGGGGAGGTGACAGAATAGGGGGAGGTGGGGGCGGGCAGAGGAAGGCCTAGGACAGAGCCATGTCTGTCCCACCTAGACAGACGGATGCTTCTCTGGCCCACCCACATCAAGGTGCCGCCTGGGCACCACCGCGCCTCCCTGGCTCCCTGATTTATGGAGCTCTGGTGGCCAGTGCTCAGGATTTGCGGTCAATTGCCGTATAAAATAAGCTTCCCTCCCCCGAGCCTCCCCCAGGCTTCCTGTCACTCTGTCCC